TAAAAGTAAAATAAAAATTTATTTTTAAAATTAAAAACTATTTCAGTTTTAATTAAAATAATAATATAGACATTTATTATGAAAGAGATGTAATATTGTTAAATTAAGTTTAGAGTAAATTTTGTTTTTCAGTCCCTGTGGTTTGTTACAAATTTTAGATTTCATCCTTGTGTTTTAGAATTAGGGTTTTAGTCCTTATCATTCGCAATTCATTTCTATTTTCGTTCATGAGGTTAAACATTAGGGAGTAAAATAGAAATAATTTATAAATCATATGGACAAAAACGATAATAATTATAAACTATAAGGATGAAAATGATGATTCAAAAACCACAAGGACGAAAATAAAAGTTGTCAACAAATTACAAGGACTAAAAACATAATTTACTCTTAAGTTTAAAAGGATTAATGGAAAGGACCACTAAAATTGAGATGATGATCGGAAGAGCCACGCAACGAATAGATGGCTGGTGATCACTTATTTATAGAAGAACATCAAACGGCTTATATTTATCTTTATTTAACGATTGACGGTTTCTCCGTCTGCCACGTTAGAATCTGCGCAAAACATGCGATTCGTCCCCTATCTCTTCACATTATGCACCATCCATCATCCATATTATTTTTTACTTATAAATTATATTAATATTTTTTATTAACCTGGATATTCAACCCGCTAAGCGAGCCGACTAATTTCAGGGCGACCACCTGCTTTGCAGATGACACAAAATCACCGTATTTGAATCTCTATGGCCACAAGAGGATTTTTTTATTCCTTCTTGGATTTGAACTTAGAGTCTCCTGATACTTTTGATCTTTATAGCCAAGTTCAAACCAATCAGTCACCACCCTTGAGGTTTCCTAAAGTTTTTTGGTTGATTTCCAGAGATATTAAAGTGTTTTGATTGATTTTGATGGGGTTTTTCAATTTATTGGTTGATTTCAAGAATCGTTTTCGGTTTTTTACTTGTTGTTTATTGTAAATTCTAATATCTTTGAACACCCTTTAAATTTTAACAAAAACGTCTTTCACACCAAAAAATTATATTTACAAAAATAAATTAAGTGGATATACAAAACACTATTCTGGGCTTAATAAGGCCGTCCTTGTATGGGATACGTAAAAAGTCATATGATATTTTTTTTTGTAAGGGTGTCCAGGCCAAAGCCCGACTAATCCCCGACAAATTTGGAGGCTAAACATGGCCCCACTTAAATGTCGCCAACACTCCCCTCCCAGGGCTCGAACTTGGGTTCATGACTATGACATGCCCAAGCCTTTACCACTAGAAATCGAGATTTTAAATAATTTTTTAAAGTCATACTATTGTGAATGCCTTGAAACCGTAGTCGTCGAGTTGGTTGTATTTTTGATCAATTAATTATTGTTTTTTTAAAAAACATTAAGGATAATTTCATGAAAATACATGTATTGTTTTGAGTTATATATATTTTCAAAGAAATATTATTTATGGATGGTATGATATTTCGTATTTAACGACATATAAATAATTTATATGATTCAAGAGAATAAATGTTAAAGTATAACTTAAAACGTGCTAAAATAACGAAATTAAACGAAAATAATAAATTAAATAAATAATTTTAAATTTTAAATTGCTAAATCATCGTCAATTCAACCATTCAAGTTTATCTACACAATAACAAAATCTGTTATAAAGCCTTTTTAGTTTTTCAAACTCCAAAGATCTCACCATTTTCAATTTATACGATTTATGTAAAAAAACTATGTATTTATAAATATATTTTAATAATTAAAATGATATTATTTTCTCGATACTAAATAATAACGTATTGAAATAATTTTATTATGCAATAATATTACTTAAATACATTTTTATTTAGTATCGAGAAAATAATATCACTTTAATTATTAAAATATATTAATAAATACATAATTTTTTAATTTTTTTCAACAAAAATAGGCAAAAACAATTTTATGAAGTTTGATTTTCATATTTTAATACAAATATAGTAATAAATACGTACTTTGTTAAATATTTATAAAGTAAAGAATGAAAAAAAAAACTAAAATGTAGACTTATAATTTGCTACATTTATATTTTTACGAACTTTTGTGTTTGTATTTATATAGATATTTACCTTTTAATTATTAAAATTTATTCAAAAGAATTAACAAATTAAAATAAATATAAGACATAAAAAACATGAAAAGGTTATCAAGTAAATATGTATTATTTTATTGCTTGTTTAACATGTAACATCACAAAATTTCCAATGCTACAATATAACAGAATTAGTAACCCAAAATCAAACACTTACATTGCAGCGGAAATAAAATTTCTAATCTTACAATTTATATCACTATCTAAACTTACAATCTTGACGAACATACTTTGCTCTATATAACAATGCCTTGATCTACACATGTCATTCTTTGATGCTAATCTTTATTTCTCTCTTTATCTAACTTTTCTTTCCAGTCTAATAGCCGCCTGGGTGAAAAAGTTTTAAAAGAGTTTTGGGTGAGCCTTAGGCCCAGTGAATCCACGGTTTTCATGCATGAACAACAACTTTTAAAATAAACAATTTTCACGAAGCTTCATAAATTTAGCATGCCATGATGAGAATAACACTTTTCACARTATAAATATATTATAGTGCGTGTCTACATCACAAAGCAACAACGTCATGGGAGATGTCTACCTCAAACAGCATTACCTGGCGAACTCACACAGCATGTCCGCACTTACGGCTTAGACAAGCTCACAAAACATGCTTGTTTTTACAAAATCATACCGTAGTACATCCCCATTGATACACAAATACACAAACACACATATTATAAAAATATCTCACTTTTCACGCATATATAACGTATCAAAAATCTTGAGAAGCTTCAAACAACTTGTGGATAATAAGAAATAAGGCATGCAACCATTTTAAAAATAAATCACGTGTAACTCACAATACATGGCGTAGCCCAAACCGATCTTTGAAGTGGCTAGCGTCTCCCCGATTGGTGCCAAACTAGCTACGATGTAGAGCACCGTCAACTCTCATTACAGCGTCCTTCGTCTCCTTTTCTCACAATAGTTCTCCTTCTTGACCCCAAACTACACATAAAGCTACAAACTCTCATTTTATACTAAGCCTCATCGACGGTTTCACGGAATATGAAACGATAAGCCATAATTAATGGTTGTAGGTTTTATGACCATTGAGTTTCTTGTCATTAAGTTACATTCAATTTATTTATTTATTTTTGGTTATTACAGAATAAAAAGAATAAACAATGATGAAAATTTATTTGTTAATTTACTAGCAAAATTAAATTATTACTTTTTTTTTTCTCTTTAACATGTAGCTTAGTTGGCTAAGGATTAAAGCGATAAACATGTCATGGGTTCAAATCTACATCCCTTACTTATCTATACTATATCATAAAGCATTTGACAAAAACTTTTAATTTTTTTTGCATAAAGTATTGGTTATTGATACATATTACTTAAAATTCAAGATTACAAATAATTTTGTGTGAGTATAACTTATTAAAGCTCTAATTTAAATTTTAATTTTGTGTAACTAACTGCAGATAAACATAATCAAATACAAGATAAACATTCATTTTTAATATTGAAAATCTAAAATATAATTAAAATAATCATTGAGTTCTAAAAGAATATTTA